TCTGACCAGTAGTGTAGGGTTGCTGGAGGGGAAGCAGGAATCATTGCAATCACAGCCTTCTGACTGACTCAGAAGTTAACAACCAAACTCTCAACCTAAACGTGTAGCAGCCAAAGCCCCCAGTGCTCCCTCCCAATGAGTGCCTGGAAACCACTGTCTCCACCATATGGTCATAGCACGGATCATATTCTGCTGTTAGGGACACAAGGCTGTAATTCTGGATGGCATTCTTGACCAAGGACTCCAAGCAAGTAAATGACAGATAAGGCCAACAGTGGGCTGGAGAACTAGACAGTTCTGCCTCTCTAATTGTCCAATTAGTAAAATGAGGCCCCAGTTCTATGATATGGACACATGTATACAAACATATACTCAGAAGTCTTCCTGCGACACAAAGAACCCACATGGTGCCCAACCCCGTTTCTGTTGTGTTCAAACTATATAAAACTAGAATATTGGTTATAAAATAATTTAACACTTATCTGCTTGCCTTCTTAGAATTTAAAAGACTTTTGGGACAGATGTGGTGGGTGGGCTAAGGGTCTTAAGAGACAAAAAAAATTAAAACAATGTTTATCCTTCTTCAATACATTTCTCTTTAGCTAACATAACTATTAGAAATGTTTTCAGTGCTTGTAAGCTTATGGAGGGGAGAGTTCATACCTGACACCATCAGACAGATTATATAGCACCCTAACTACCTGAGCATAACTTGGGAGAGAGGTGGGGCTGGGAGGTTGTCAGAGCGAGTGCCTGTCACTAACCTGAGAGTGAACTGGGCTTCTACTCATGCTCTAAGTTTCTTATTTTTACTCTAGATATCAGTTTCTTAAAAAATTTCCCGATATTTTGTCCTTAGGTGCCTTTAGGAGGCCCAGCAAGCCTTCAGTTAAATAAACACCATTAGGCTGAGACACTAAAGTCAAAATGGGCACAGTTAGCAAGTTAGTAGATCTAGTCACTTAAGAATTTTAGCCTTGACAAAGATACTCCAGGGGGAGATAAATTAAAGTATTCTAGCCTGAGAAAGTCTCTCCCCCACCCCAATGACTCAGTCCAAATACACTGAAATATTTACTCTCCCTCTGATCTTCCTGGGCTCTGCAGGAATTTAGATTAATCATCCCTTAGTCTCCATCTTGGGTTGGGTTGGTGGGGAAAGGCTTTCATTGCCTGGTTAAATATTGGGGATTTTTTTTATCCTGGGGTGGGGGGAGGACAGAAGGAATATTTGTTGAGGGACTCTTGAGAGCTAGCTGGTGGGTTTCTTGCATACTCCAATGAGCACTGAGCCCCCCAGGGAAGTCAAGAGGTAGAGGGACGCCCTGCTGCATGTCTAGGGAGGCTACCTACTGCCATGTGCTTTCATCCATTCCCTGAACACCTGCTCACATAGCAGGCCCGGATCCACATGCAATAATGAGTAAGACACGGTCCCTGCGTGCAGGGAGCTTACAGTCTGACAGGGAAGACAATTAGACAAGCAATTAGAGTAAAATCCCACAGTTAGAATAAAATGTGGGCTACTTCCCTAGCGGCCCTGCCTGAGGTGTCCCTGCCTCTCTTTAACTCATTCTCACCGTCCTCCAGCCACCCTGGTTATCTGGCTATTCCTTGAATAGGCTGACCTTGCTCCCAATTTTAGGGCCTTTGCACCTGCTGCCCCGGCCGCCTGGAGCACTCTCTCTCCAGCTCACTGAAGTCTCTGCTCAAAAGTCCCCTCCACCTAGAGCCTTCCTTCACCACCCAATGTCTTCACCCATCCTCCAGAAGGATCCTTTCCACCCTTCTCGGTCAGTATTTGATTAAACTACGTGCTGATTATGGTGTGTCTCCCCATCAGAACGCACGCGCCAGGAAAACAGAGCTTGTCTGTCCTGCTCACTGCGGCCTCCCCAGAATGATGTCTGGCCCAAAGCAGGGGCTCGGTACAGATTTGTTGGAAAATAAGCACAATGATAAGGGAGGCTCCCGGGAAGGGCTTCCTAAAGAAAATGACATTTGTTGGGGAGAGAGGCAGATTTTGGAGAAAGGGATTGCAGAGGAGAGGAGGCAGAGAAAGCTGGGTGAAGCGGGCGTAGAAATCACATCAGAGTGCTGGGCCAGAGATTTCTGGATGATTGCAAAACCTTGGCAAAAGGCTAACGAGGTGAGAAAGAGCACCCACACCTGGCGTTCTGAGGAGCATCGCCGGGATTCTCCGCTGAGTGTGCCTGCAGCATGGCCGCCCTGGAAAGGGCCCCCTCCCGGGAAAGTGGATGGCCTGGGTGCCCTGCTCAAAGGCGCCCTCTCGTGGCCACAGCCCCTACAATGGGGTCCTCCTCAGACTCTAGTTAGTCTGCCGGGTGCCTCCCTCCCTCTAGGATTCTGGGATTCTCGCCCTTACTAAAAGCAAATAAACAGGCACACAGATGGACAGACAACCTCCCACCCACTGTGGCAAAGCTGGTCCTTTGGTAAAACTGCTTAGACTTGGCATTTTGAACGATTTTACCTTGTGTAAAAGTTGGGGGGGGTCCGTTGGACAATCATCACAACCGCACACACTGAGCCCTTCCTCGGTTCTGAGGACATGACGTGTATTTATTAACTTAATCCTCAGTACTGGGGACTGTGACTATCAGTGTCCCCATTGCACAGAAGAGGAAGGCGAGGCCTGGGGGGTGGAATGGCACCCCTGTGGCCAGGCGAGCTGGTGGTGCAGCAGGATGCACTCCTGGCCAGTCTGCTCCACGGCCAGGATGGGACTGTGGCTGGTGCCACACTGAGGGTTAACGGAAAGGCCAGGCCTTGGGCAGTGATGGAGGGGCCAGAACCATGCTGGGTACAGTAGGAACAAACGTCTCTCCTGCGGTCACCCCAACCCCTCGGCCGCCCCCAGAGACCTGGAGCCCCAGGAGCTGCCAATAAAGTAAGAAAAACCCCACAGCTGAGAATGGTGCAGGACGTGGCCTTGAGCTGCCCGAGCGCCTCGGGGCAGGGAGCCAGGGGGTATCACGGTGCCAGGCTCAGCCCGCCTCGCTCCCGTGCAGACAGCCCACCCCTGCGGCCCGCACATGCGGCTGCGTCTCTCAGCCTGCTTCACCATTTATGGTATCTGAGCCTCTGTTTGGCCTTCACAGGCCAGCAAATCCCCACACCGGGAGGGAGTTCTCACTCACTCAGGGCTGTTCTCAGAGAAAACCCAAAAGGTTCTGGCAGAGTTCTTGCTGGGGACCTGTTTCTGCTTTAAAACACGCTTGGATGGGCAGTCACCCAGGCCCTACTACTCCCACAGACCTGGGGACAAGGAGGACGCCCCCAAAGACTCCTTGATCCTTCATCTAGGGACCCCCCCCTCCAGAGGGACTATTAGCTCAGCTGGGTCTCTTTAATCCAATCTAAACCCAGGCAAGTGGGGACAGGCACTGGATTAGCAGGGCCACTGGCTGAAGCTAGCGGGGAGAGAGTCTTGGGCAACAGACCCATCACATGTCACTCTGGCCCTCTTGCCCGTTACTAGGCTTTGGAGTAGGCCACGTGGACCTCCAAGGAGAGCCCCCTGTTGGGAAGGTGAGGGCCGCTCCCCTGGCCCAAAGAGACGAAGCTCAGATCTCTTCTTGTTTCATTATCACAATTTCCGGAGGCCCCTTATTGAGCCATGAAAGGAGATCTGTGGGGACAAAGAATAGATATGTCAGCCACAACTCTGGCTGACAGATTCCCGGGGGGCCAGAGTCAGGCTCCCACCTGGGTGTGAACGGCTTCCTGGAAGGAAGGGGAGGCAGGTGAGGACTCCATGCCAGAGCACTTCAGAGAAACGGGGGAGGCCCGGGAGTGTGCCCCTTGTTGGCAAAGAGCCTCACAGAGCCAGCGTCAGCACAAGCCCCTTCATCCTTAAGGGGTGACACTGCCCAGCCTACAGGGCTCAGGCTCCCCCTCCGGGCCAGTGGATTCACACTCTGGAAAAGGGCAGGGCATAGGAATGAGCACAGGCTTGAAGTCACGGGGATCTGGGTCTGAAAGCCCAGTCTGACTTATCAGCTTGTGTGTTTAGGCAAGTTGCGTACGCTTTCTGAGACCTCCAGACCCTTCCGTCTAAAATAAGGGCAAGCAGGGAGAGCATGGCCCTCCCCACGGCTGTTGAGGTCTAAATGAGAAAGTATTTAGCGCAGTAACCAGCGCATGATTTTCTCCCTACCCTTTTCAGTGAAGCCGGGTCCTGTGGCCGCCCAGAAGGCAGCTGCTCACGTTATTGGGAGACTCTACCCACAAGACCTGAACCTTGGGGGACAGAGGGAAGAGACATGGTCTCCTGCCAGCATGCTGGGGAAGCAGAGGCCCCAGGCCCCAGTCACACACAGGAGCGGGGGCCCAAGCCTGGAGCGGAGGATGGGGAGGCAGGCTTACCTGGATACCCTGACCCCAGGGAGCATTCCCTGGGCACTGTCACCATGCCCGCTGACCCCACAGCCCAAACAGCTCTGTCTCGAGGGCTGTGACTCCCCTGGAACTTCCTGGGACTAAGGGCTCGGCGAGGATCAATGGATGAGCATGATAATCAGATTACTGGACACCAGGCTGCTGATTATGAAAAACCAGCCTAGGCTGGTGGGGAGGAGCAGGGTCAGAAGGAAAAGGGCAACAACCTGGGACCCTCTCGAAACCTTAGTACCAGCACTCTGTTACCCAGTGACCCCCAGCACGGGAGGTGGCATTTGTGAGACCCCTAAGTCCTAAGGGGGTATGTGAGTCCTCCTCCTGGGACATCTTTCAATGTGCAAGGACTTCTTCCTACCACACTGGAAGCTTCTTGAGCCAAGGGAGCCCTTGCCTCTTTCCCCTGCATCTTCCCTCAGCCCCGCTGGGGTGAGGGGGTGGGGAACGGGCCTTTGCCTTGTCACTGTGGACCTCTAGAGGCCATTTCCTCCACCTGCCTGCCTTCAGGTGCAGTGTGCTCTTTCTCCCAAGCAGATGTCTGCAGGAAAGGTGCTTCTAGAGAGGTGCCCAGAGGCTCCTACCATGGACAGTGACCCGGGCGCTGCAGGACACCTGCCCCACGGTGTTCTTGGCCAGACAGGTGTAGGTGCCATCATCTTCTGGCAGGGCGTCCTGGATGTGGAGCTCAGCCACACCGGCCTCGCAGGACGAGTGAGCATACTGGATGGGCTGCTCTGTGGAGGGAAGCACAGGAAGACTCAGGCCAAGGGGCTCCCAGTGCTGGGGCTACTGCTGTCATGTCACCATGCTTGCTCAGATCCACTGCGGGCTGACGTGTCAGGCCCTGCCCTAGCCAGCTGGACAGAGAAAGCAGGTGTTTGGGAGGGACATGGAAGAGAGGCAGTGGTTGTTGGGGTGCAGGAGCAAGGCTGGGGCTGGAAGGACTGTGGGGAGAGATTCTGGAGGCATTTCGAATGCAGGAGGGAAGGGGGCAGAGTTCTGTGCATTTTGTTTAAAGAAACAGTCCCCAGATCCACAGCCTGGACTCCACAGAATTCTGAGCCTGGAAAGAATCTTACAGGGTCATCTGGCCCATAGCCCAGCCTCAGGCACAACAGGCCTCACCCAGACAACAGGAGGCTCCTGGCTCCTTTTAGATGTCTCCAGAAATAATGATTCCATTTCCCACTGCAGATATTCATCAGAAAGCAAGTGTGTGACCTCAACCTGATGCTGTTAATTAGGTGCATTTTGGTGCATTTTAGGGTTCATGGAAAAGATAAATATGGGAAACTAAAAATGACTCTGGCCCCTTCTTCCCAGAGTCCCTAACACAAGAGGCCCTTTATTCAGGTCACATAAAACCCTGCATGGAGATAGAAGTGCATGCTATGAACTCCAGTGGTTTCCTTAATGCTATATGTCCCTGGGACTTTATCATTCCAGGATGTGAGCTTTCATTTCCAGGAAAAAAAAAAAATCTCATTACTGAAGATTCTGGCCTCAGAGCAGGAATGTGTCTGCTTACCATATAGGAAGCGACTGTCAGTTTCTTCCCTTGTCAGGCCCCAGGGTCCTGGTTTGCACTTCATAAAATTGGGGATGGGCAGTGGGGGGAAGGAGAAAGTACAGAAAGAAGTCCTCTCCCTGCAGTGCAATGTTTTCTTCTGCACACAGCAACACCTCGTGTCTCCATGACAGTTTGCAGAGACTGCCAAGCAAGCATGCCATAGGGCGGGAGGGAGGAGATTCTGCCCTTCATAAAGGTGGGGCTGGGGGCTGGGAAAGGCAACGGCCAGGATCGGGCTACTGAGAGGATTGAACACTGCTCTTCGCTTTTTGTGGAAAAAAAAAAAAAAAAAGACACTCTAACACCTCTCTTCCTTGCGAATACCAGTACATTTCATGACTGCCATCAAAGTGCTTCTGCTGTCGAAATGTGCCAGCATAGTGTTTAAGACCTCTTTTGTTACTGGAGTATAACTCATTTTGGTCCACACACATGGGATAGAATGGTGGCCCCAGAAAGGAGTTGTTGGCTCAAGGCACTCAGAATTCGGAGACGCGGAACTCTCGCTGCCCGGACACTGGGACGACAGGATGGGTAGCAGCCAGGGGAACTTGAGCACGATCGCCCTCTAGTGGCAATAGTGTGGAAGTGCCAAGATTGACCAAGAATTAAAAAGGTGGGGTAGCTTTTCCAGGTCCTGAGGGGTGCAGACCAGGGATCAGCAAACTACTGCTCACGGGCCAAATCTGACCTGCAGCCTGTTTTTGTACAGCCTGAAAGCTAAGAATAGTTGTTACAGATTTTAAATCGTTGAAAAAAATCAAAGGGAAAATATTTCGTGATCTGTGAACATTGTATGAAATTCACATTTCAGTGTCCATAAATAAAGCTTTATTGCAACACTGCCATACTTATTCATCTACATATTGTCTCTGGCTGCTTTTGTGATGCCACAACAGCAGAGTTGAGTAGTTGTGACAGAGACTGTATGGCCAGCAAAGCTGAAAATATTTACTATCTGGCCTTACGGAAAATGTTTCTTGACCCCTGGTCTGGACCCTGAGCCAGACGGAAGTGAAACTCTCTTACTCAGATCCATTACTAGTCTTTAACATCATGTTCTGTTCCAGCTGCAAGGAGGCTGCCTCTTTGTAGTCAGTCACGGGATCCGACAGAAGCTCTGTCCATAGTGAGGGGTGGAAGGAAGGGTGACCTCAATTGTCACTTATTTGCCCACGAAGATGACACACAGGAAGACTATACGCACCTTCTCTCACTGACCAGAGATAATCTCTAGCAAAGCCTAAGCAAACTATACCAACTGGAAAGGTTCCCAAGTAACACGTCAACAGTGTAGAAACGGCTATTTGGTGCGTCAATAGTGTAGAAACGGGGCTATTTGGTGCATAGGTGACAGGTGCCGTTGTCCCTTAAGGAGCCTATTCTATCAGCCCTGAGAGCTGGTTGAGGTCTCAAAACTTCTGTTCCAGCCCATCTCCTCACCCATAAAGAAGCTGATGCCCGGAGAGGTGAAGGGGGGTGTCCAAGGTCCCCTGACCCCTAGATGGCAGAGAAGGCTAAGTGCCCTGGTCCCCTCACTGGCAGTCCTCCTTCATCCTCCCTGTGGATCCCCAAAGCAGGGGTTTCCAAAGCGGACCCTGCCCAATGCCATCAATTTGATGGACTGTTCTCAGTTCTAAAATTAGAGTCCTCCCATACTTTTGGAATCGAAAGGCTTTTTTACCAAGAGAATAGTGATCATATATGATAACTAATTTTTTCAAAAGGCCTTACTTGGCAAAAAAATAAAATAAAATAAAAAAGTTGGCATGTCTCTATAGGACTATAACATTACAACGAGTTACTTGTCTATGAATCCCAAAACCAACTGCCACTAAATAAAAGGCAAGGTTCCATGAGTAACTTCTAGTATCGTTCACTAATTTGTTAATTTGTTCATTTATTGACTCAACAAATATTTATTGAGGGTCTACTATGAGCCTGGCCACATAAATGAACCAAACTGCCTGTGCAGCCATGTACATTAGCTGTTTTATATAAAGGATCTAATGTACTTCACAACCACCACCCTGGGAGGCAGCTGACATATTCATGTGTTGCAGGAACTCAAGGCTCAGATAGGAATAGCAACTTGCCCGATGTCCCCAGCCAGGCGATGGCAGACGCCACAGTCCCGTGAGCTCTCTGTACCCTGTAGGTTCTGAGGGATAAGTGGGGTAAGCCAAGTGAGAACGCAGGCAGGGCCAAAGGGCCCAGGGGGCTAGAGCAGGGGGGAACTCACCATTGAGCAGCCAAGTGATTTGGGGGACCGGGGTCCCCTGCACAGAGCACTGCAGCACAAAGTCCTGGCCCTCGATGACAGTGCAATCCTTCAGGACCCTGGAGAAAGACGGTGCCACCTCCGTCGCGGCCAGCCCTGCAAGGGCAGAGAACAGACAGGCCATCTCAGACCACAGCTGACGTGCTCTGCTGAGGCACTGCAGTCACCCCAAGCCTCACAGGCAGATGCACCCAGAGTTCCTCAGGAGCCTGGGTTGGCCTTAACCTCTCTTCAGACTTGGAGGCAGGCAGCACCACAGGTGTGGAGACCTGGAGCCTGGGGCCGACAACCCAGCAGGGGCTTATTCACGGTCACAAAACAGCCCAGGTCCGGGAGTGCTCAGGACACGGGCCTGCCCCCTCTCCTCTGGGTCTCAGGCATCTCCTACCCTGTCTTGCCTTTTGCTGTCCTGGAGCATCCGCAGAGCTCCTTCTTCCCTGCTTTCCTGGTCCCCCTGTACCTCCCAGTGCCCCTTCTCCCCTTTAACACATCCCATCGGACCTGCACAACCTTGAGAATATCTTTGTACTTGTAGAGACAATATGCCCACCGGGGAGGACATTTCAATTTTAAAGTGTTACTTTTTCCAACTCCAAGACTGGATCAAATGACAGAGACTCACATGTGTCCTAGTTTTCCAACCTAGGCCAACAGCTCGGGACTGCTGGGGGCCTGGGACTATGCATTACTAAGTTCCCTCAGGATTCTGATGCGTATTTTCGTTGAGAACCACTGAGCTGAGCTTTCCAGAAGCCCTCTACATTGGTGGACTGGGGAGCATTTTGTAGTTTGGGGGGGCCTTAACTAGGAGCAATAGGGATAGATCGTCTCTTCCACGAGCAGAACATGTGGCACAAATGTCAAGGTGGCTGACAGCTGAGAAGGGGGAAGGGATTTGGTGATTAGAAGAGGCCTCAGCGGTGCCTTTCAGGAGAAGCTATCCCATGCAGTGGTGAGGGGTAAGCCATATGATACTGCAGGGCCTTAAGGACAAAAACTGGTACGGAAGGGCTTACTGTGTGCCAGGGACATTCCCACATGTGACTGTGACAGCGCCATGAGGTCACTTTCTTCAGCTCATTTTATAGACCAGGTTAGTAATTTCTCATAGTCCAGCCCAATGGCGAAGGCAGGCTTTACACCCGGCTCTCTGACTCTGCGTCCCCACTTCCTCCTCCACACCAGAGCTCCCCTACAGGGGGAGGGGGCTGGGGGAGAGCAGCTAAGTCAGAACAATGGGGCATCTGATCGGCACTGGCGCTGAGGAAAGGGATGGACAGACTACCTCGAGAGCTGTGGCCACCTCTATCCCTTTTCCCAGCCGGCGTCACATTCCCTCACAGGGAAATGCCTTTGGGAGCCATTGAAAAAATATGGACTTCTGTGTCAAACCAACATGGGTTAGAAATATGTTATCTTTTACCAGGCATGTGACCTTGGACAAGTCGTTTAACTTCATCACAGCTCAGTATTCCCACCTGGAGAATGGGTGTGACTACAATTATCTCCTCAGACCACTGGGATAACTAAATGGAACAACAGAGGTAAAGCATTTAGCACAAAGCCTGGCACATTGAGCAAGCTTTTGTGGAGTGTTCGCTGTTACCATCAAATGGAAGCTGGGCATCGAGACTAGACCTGCAGTGAGTTTGGGGGTGAAAGACAGTGGAGAAATAGAGTGGGAGCTTAAGGGGCCACTGAGAAAAAGGAAGATTTTCTTTCCATCTTGACCAGAGCATGATAGTAGGGATCAGGTGGCCTGCATCTTGGCGAAGTCATCCGGAAAGGTTTTAGAACAGTCAGTAGCCCCAAGAGAGAGCCCAGAAGTACTTCTGCAATGGCAGAGTAAGGGCTCCTGAAAAACCGCTCCTCCATACAAGCAACAAGAACACTGGCAGAAACAGTCGAAATCAACTTTTTCAGAACTCTGGAAATTAACCAAAGGCTTACAACATTCTGAAGAGCGTGCATTCAAAAACAAACAGCTGACCGTTGGTAAGAAGAGCCACGTTGGCGGCCTGCTTAATTCCCATCCTGTTTGCCCCAGCTCTTGTGGTAGCTTTGAAGACCATATTCTCTTTCACCCCCAACTTGCTGCAAGTATAGTCTTGATGCACGGCTTCCATTTAATAATAATAACAACCACTCCAACAAAAGCCTGCTGGTTTTCAACCTTTGGTGGACCTGATGCCATGTGTCCATCCCCTGCACAGAGCCTGGGATGACGAGGCTCGGGTGCTTGGACTTGTGAACTCTACAGGCACTCCCACCTCCAAATGGAATGGATACTATTTCTTACAAAGAAATTCATGACCATAGTGAAAATCCCAATTAAGAAATAAATCAACAGTATGCATGCAGTGAGAAGTAAGACTACCCCCCACCTCTTCCTAAGCATCCCCAGTTTCCTTTCCTTGAGGCAACGTGTGGACCCTTCCAGAAATGTTTTATGCACACATAAGCGTCTGTTTGCACATATCTACATATATTATTTTCCTTTTATGCAAATAGCATATGATACACACAGCTCTGCACTTGGCTTTTCTCCCTTACTGGTATCTTGGACATGTTTCACCATCAGAGTCCACAGGTCAGCCATATTTGTTTTACTGGCTGCATGGAATCCTACTGCACGGATGAATCACTAAGTTCTTCTCTTTTCCTTTCTTTTTTTGGGAAATGTTTATTATGGCAAATTTCAAATACACACACTAGGAAAGAGAGCAGTCCGTGGATTATCATATACTCGTTTCTCAAATTTAATAATTATCAACTCACGGCTGATCTCATTTCATTTGTACCCCCACCAACTCCCACTACACGTGGATTATTTCTGAAGCAAATATCGTATCATTTCACCAGTAAATAACTCAATTTATATCTCTAAAATACAAAGGCTTAAAAAAAATAACCACAAGACCACCGTCATATCTTATAAATAGCACTAATTCCATTATATCAAATACCTTGTGAATGCTCAAATTTTCCTGGTGTTCTCATTAAAAAAAGTTTTTAAAGTTGTCTCTGTCAGGAGCCACACAAAGTCCAAAGATTGTGATTATTGATATCTCTTGCCTATCTTTTCACCGACGTTTCCTAAAGGTTGTCCCTCCCTTCCTCTTTCTCTTGCAATTTGTTTGTTGAAAAAAAATAGACAAAGGTTATTTGTCCATTGAACTTCTAAAAGCCTGAAATTCGCTGACTCTATCCTTGTGGTTTAATATGTTCCTCAATGGGTCAAGGGTCCCTGAATAGCATTTAAAATGAGGAAATTTTATAGAGAGATAGATGGGTACAAAGATATCTATCACAGTTTTGTTACAATAGTGAAAAAATGGAAACAGTCTAAATATTCGACAGTAAGAGCAAGCGTAATCAGGTACACTATTCTATGAAACATTATATGGCCATTAAAATCATGTTTTTGAATAATATTAAGTAATATAGAAAGAAGTAGTATAAGAACGATGCTTATGTAACATGAGCAAGTTAGACTAGAAAGCAGTACACAAACAGCACAATGCCGATTTTGTTTTAAAAACATTAAAATATCATTTATTTCTGAGTCATAAAACTATATTGTGTTTAAATCCCCCACAACAAACAGGCACAACTTTTATAAACAGATATTACAATAAACATAGAAGATGCGGGATCCCACATCATCTCATATGACTCTCAACGTGTATATTTAGGGAATGTTTGGTTCTCTGTGGTTAGAAAAGTGAGTCATGGCACTCCTTGGAGAGTTGAGGAACCAGAAAAGGGAGCTCTCAGCAGGGCTGGGCATGAGGGGTGGGCATGCTTCTTTTGAGGTGACTCTGATGTGAACTCCTCATCAGGAGTCACCTGTCCTGGAGCAATGACTTTGGCCTTGGCATGTGGGTGGGAATGATGCCTCTGTCGGGTTGTACACCCTGCGTGGGGGTGGTAGGTGATACTCCTGCAGGGTAGGAGGCACCCCATGGATGGCCCCCCCACAGAGAACCCAGGGTGACTGGAGGCGCGTACTCACGTTTCACCAGGAGGGTCCAACTGCAGGACACCTGGCCTCGGACATTGCAGGCCGTGCAGCTATAGCTCCCACTGTCTCTGGCCCGCGCTCTCAGCAGGCAGAGGTAATGGCATCCGCCTTCTTCATAAACCTCAACCATGCCTTCTCGAATCCTCACAGGGGCACCTTCCAGGAACCAGGTCACTTCAGGCTTTGGGGTCCCTGAAACTACAGGGCGAGGTGAAGGACATGAGGTTCCCAGAGAGTGCATTGTGCTTGTGGGGCAGGCAGGATGCTGGACCTGAGGGAGACGCTCATTCTGGTTTGAGATGCCCTCCTGCAGAATAGGCTCTCTTACCCCTCACCCTGCACTGTGCACGAGTAAACCTCTCAAGATGGAGGCAGGGTCTGTGGGGAGGAGGGACATAGGGTGACAAGCCAGGTCTCCAGATCAGCCAAAGCCAGCAGAAGGGAGAAAAGAGCAGGAGCCCCTGTGGCTTGTTTTTTGATGGTGATGGTGATGATGGGTTTTCCCCTCTAGGGTGGTTAGAATTAGGACACAGGGCCGATGCCATATCCAACAATGAACAACGGGCCACCGTTGGGTGTTTCTCCAGAACAAGGCACGTTACTAGACTGAGTCCTTCCTATAAGGTGGCTTCTGGGGTGGGCTGGGTTCTAGTCCAAGGGGCTGGGTGGATACCACTGTGCTGACGGACAGAGTGGCCACCCAGGGGCTACACTGGTGGGGCGGATGGGACAGTGACCTTCTTTAGCTCTACTCACCCTCGCATCTGAACTTGACTGTCTGATCTTCACTGACTTCCTGGCTTTGGGGTTTGCTCTCAAATTTGGGGAAGGTGGAATCCCTCTGGCTCTCCATGGGGATTTTCCTTGTAGCAACCTTGCTCACCACCTCCTGGCTTCCCAGGCCGGACTGCTTGGTGGGGAGGGTGGCTGGGGGGTACGCAGCTGGCCTCTCCCTCTCTTCTCTGGAAGACGAGGGGGCACCCGAGACCAGTGCTCTTGGTTCTGGCTGGACTTTTGCAGCCTGCAGGGTGATGGTGCTAGAAGTCTTTTGTAGGACGGGGCTCCTCAGGGCCTTCCTGGGTGGGTCCCCGGACGACTCCAGCTGGGACTCCCGCAGGGGCGGAGGCTGACTACTTGTGGCCCAGGTCGGGGAGCCCCCTCTCTGGGTATTGGAGCAGTTCTTTCTCTCGGCAGCAGACGCAAGGCTGTCCAGTTTCGGCCCCTGTGTGGTTCCATTGGTCACTTCCTTCCTGATATCTGCATTGGCAGCCTTTGTTCCTCTCACCAATGACCTGTTTGGTGGTGGTTGGGGTGGGGGGCAATGGGGAAGAAGAAGGAGAAATAGAATGGTTATCTGGTTACTCACAAGCATTACTCATGACAAGCCCAGATTCCGGCGATCACAAAAGCCCACAAATGAAGACAGAGTGTGAACAAAAGTCTCTCTCGGCAGCTTTCTCAGCTTCCCAAGGCAGAGGGCAAGCAGCCATTCCTGACACATCCTTGCCCCTCATCCCAATCCAGAGCCTGTTCTATCTGCATTTATCCAATCTGCCTTCATCCTACCCCCCGAGCACCACCCTAGTTCCCACCATGCAACCGCCTCCCCCAGGTCCCTGCTGGCCCTCTCTGATCCACGGTCTGCATGGCAAGCACAGCCGATCTCCACCGCACCGAGAATGAGACTGAGCTTCACAACGTGGCCCACAAGGATGCCCTACGTGAGCTGGTTCCCGCTGCCTCTTGGACCTCGCCAGACTGTCTGACTCCTGCCAGGCAGCAGCCACACCAGTGTTCTTCTGGGTCCCCCAGGGCCCATCTCTCTGTCATTTCCCTGCTTTCACACATGCTACCGCCCTGCTGGGAGCATGCTCCCCGTGCTTTTGTTCACCTGGCTAACATTCCCTGTCAAGGGCCTGAGCTCAAACAGCAAGTGTCCAGGAAGGGTTTCTCTGACCCTCTAATCTAAATTAGCGCTGCTCATTCCTCTGCCCTGGACACACCACAGCCTGTAACTCCGGCTTCGTGCAGCTCTGTTTAAAGCCCTTTCCCTCCACCAGACGCCTGCCCACCCCGCAGACCCAGCATCTGGCTCCAGGCCTCATGCACGGGAAAGGAAGCTCCCGAGGAAGATGGGCTTTGTGGGTGAGCGGATCCTGCCTGGCCCGTGTCAGGCTCCCTAGTCAGCGCCCTTCCCAGTGACAGCTAACTGGGACTGGCCAGACGCTAAGAAAGACGACAGCACTGTGTCTTCAAGAGCCTCACTATGATGGCGAGCTGCTCCAGAGCCTGTGTGGCATACTGCAATAGGAGAACAAAACAAAACCTAACTATGCCCCCAACGGTCAGCTCTCCCTCCTATACAATGACTTGGAAATTCAGGGCATTTCTCCATTACAACCTCTCTTTTCTTGCAGGGCATCTCAAGATGGAGACAGTGATTACAAAGCCTAGACGTACCTACTGGCATTGTCCAAACCTGGAAAAAGGGAGAAGGGGAGACTGTTAGTGGACTCTTTTACATACCAAGAGGAGGCAGTGATGAGACAGCACTGGTTTTCATCTCCTACAGAGTGTTCACCTCCTCAGCTTCCACTTGGCCCCTCACCAATGCCCGTCCCTCCCTCCGCCCCTCCCTCAGCGTCCCTGGTGCTGAACTGCTTGGGTTAATCTGAGGAGTTTGTCCGAGCCCCGCTCTGAGACACCTTCAAGGCCTCCACTGCTGCCCTGGGTCTTCTCTGGAAGCCTCGGCAACCGTTCCCTATGCCATGGGACCTGTCCCGTTCACCAGCCGCAGAAGGAAACCAATCAAGGGACAAACCAAAATAAACGTCTGAAAATTTCAAACCCAAACACTTTAACTTACGTGCGGCCCTCAAAAACAAACCTCCCAAATGATCAGTTTTGACAAATACCTGCTTTAAAAATGTACAGGGAAAGTGTAATTTCATTCAGTTCTTCAAAGAAAAAAACATACTATAGATATATTCTTTTTCCCTGCCATATCGTTTTTAAAAATTTTATTATGGAAAATTTCAAAACATACAATAGTAGAGAGGATATAACCAATTCTGAAAGCCATCACTCAGATTAAGGAAATAGCACCATGTTGCCTGTCTTTTCTATTCCTTTTTGTTTTGGTTTTCAGAGGAGCTTCTTCTGGGAGTATTTTGAAACACATCCCAGGCCACACATCATTTTGTCACTAAGTACTTGGGAGGGGAGCAGTTCTTTAATTCAACGCTAGGGCAAGTAAGGGGAGTGGCTCAATCACTCTTCTCAATGCCTAACAGTGGGTCTGAGCCCACAGTGAGTTGTGAAGTCTACTTCTTCAGTCCAGACCAGGACTTTGATGGTGCAGAATGGAATAGAGAATGCCCGCGGGTCCTGTGCGTAGTACAACTCAGGACCGCTTCATGAAACTTGTTTCAGTTAAATATGTTTATATACACATGTACACATGTATGTCCTGAATAAATTTCTTTCTGTGGGTTATGAAGAACACTCCAGCCAACAATGGTAAAGAGAGCAAGGAGGAACAGTTTCTGAGAAAGGAAGGGAATGTGGAAGAGAAAAATCATAGAAGAAAAGAGGGTAAGAAAGGGGGAGGAGCGTGAAGGTCTTTTCCCTCCCCGATTCCCCAAACCCCACCTTGCTCAAGGTTCCCGCTCCGCTCGGTGGAGTCATGTCAATCCCTTCGCCACCCACACTCCCGCTTCCACAGGCTGGACTTGGCGGAACCAAGGGGAATGTAAAGAGGAGACACATTCAAAGAGATTTCCAGGGAAGAACTGACAGGGGCTAATGCCTACAGCAAGGAGGAGGCAAGGGTCAGAGGAGATGCTGAAATGCCCAGTCCAGGTGAGGAGGAAAAGCAGAATTCTGTGGTAGAAAGAGTTAAGCTGAGGGAACATCTGATGTGAAGGATGGAGTGGATGATAAGTTAAATTTGAGGCAGGTTAAATTTGGGGTGATGGCAAGGCATTTGCAATGTCCACTCTTGGCAGTTGCAATTAGAGGTACAAAAAGGAATGTGAGCAAGAAGAAAAGACTGAAGACACAGGTGTGGGGCACAGCGCCGGAACACGAGTTCAAGACTCTGCCCCCGGGGGGACGCACGGGCAGGTGGGTGGGTCAGTGTAACACCGATCTGTAATGGACAGCAGCTCCCCCTAGCAGGGTACAGACACCAGGCAGGGGGGGTTCCTTACGAGCCCTCCCGCCACTTGATACCTTGGATAGAAAGCTCGGCCGACATGGAGGCCTTCCCTGACCCATTCACCACCAGGCACGTGTATACTCCCACGTCATCGTGGCTGACCTCATGGATTTCCAGAACTTGTACCCCATTCTTCTCAGACATAGACACACGGGCACTTGGCTGCAGGGGAACCTCTCCCTGTGGATGGCAAGAAGGCAGATGGGTCAGAGAAACCTGCTTACCTTTTGGCACTATCTAAGCCTGGCTGGGATGGACACCAGGCCTGGGCAGCAGAACCCTCCGCCCTGGGCTCTGTTGATGTGCTCAGAGAGCAGTCTTTGGACAATCCAAGGGCCCCCCGACTCGAGGTCCATGTGTGTGGTGTGGCGTGAGGTCTGGCTTAGAGCAGGTGTATGAACTTGTTTCAGAGGAGGCCTAGTTTGAGGTGGGGATCCTACATTCCTCCCTTTAGCTCTGCTTTGCCTCCCTCTCCTTTACTCTGTTCCCAGGCTCAGTCCAGGAGAACTGGGAAATAGGGAAAAGGTGTCCCCTCACTTATTTTGACCCAGGACTCCCATCTGTGAGAAAGCTATTCTCGCAGGCCTTGACCCCAAGCTTTCCCTGTGGCTCCTCACTGCACTGCTGAAGGCCCACCCCGCCCCTCAGGCCCCCTGCGGCTGCCACTCCCCTCCCCTACCCCTCTGTTCTGCCTTCACACTGCCTGGCCCTGAATGAAATACTCCCAACCGTATTCTCAGGTATTCTGAGGAAGGTGGCATCATCTCTGCCTCACAGATAAGGAGACCAGTGCTCCAAGAGACCAAATGATTTGCCCAGCATCATGTGTCTTATGAATGAGGGAGCTGCAGCTTGAAACCTGGTCTCATGACTTCAAATTCCACTCTCTTGAGATGGTCAGGTCTGTTCTGACTCAGAAATTTTATGCTGTTTGGGGAGTGTCTGGATTATAGGGCATGGTGAGCTGAGTTGCAGAGGCAGAGTGTGCAAATAGGGGCAGGGTCAAGCATGGCTATTGGACATACAGAGAACCCTGAAGAACCATCTATAGTCGAGCAGAAGGGACTGATTGGAAAGACAGACTCTTGTTGGTCCAAGAGTCTAACTAACCCTCCACATTCAGGGTCCCCAGGCCGGGGCCAGAGTTGGGGCAGATAAAAATCTCACCTTGAGCCAGGTGACCTGCGGCTGGGGCCGGCCAGTGATCTTGCAGGAAAACCGCCCCATCTGCCCTTCTTTGACTACGGCTCGGCCCAACTTGGTAGCAAACTTTGGTGGGCACGCTCCCCAGATGCTAGGACGGGTCTCCATGGCAGGGGCTGCAAATCTGTCTCTGGAAAAAAATTAGCAGAGAGTCCAGCAGCAATTCAGATCTTCTCTCTGCCCCTACCTATATCGCTTAAGTTGGGTCAGAGACCAGCCAAAGGCAGCCTTCCCAATTCTGTGCCTTAAACACATTTCTCATGCACCCTCTGGAAAAGTCTGTGGCACCAAAACCTATTTCCTCTACCTCCTGATCATGCAGCGAGACTTCATATACTGGCCTCCCTTGTGGTAAGGTATACCTGAATTCTACTGAGCTCTGGCCAAAAGCCTGGGTTTTGGCCAACAGACCGCAAGCAGAAGTGAGGTATGCCAGCTCTTGGCTAAACCCATAAAAACCTCCCGTGAGATTCTCCACACTCTCTCTTGCCCACTCTTCTGGCTAGATGCAGAAGATCCAAGAGAGGCTCCAAGGCCAGGAGATGATGGAACTGCAAAATGAAAGGAGGCCGGGTACCTGAACCATGATGGCAAGGTTCTCCCCCTGTTCAAGAATATCTAAGCTGACTTTGCTTGAGTAAGAAATAAACTTTCCCTGTGTTAAACCATTGCGATTTGGGGGCTTGCCTATTATAGCTGCTACTGTTACTTACCTTTACCAATACAGGTTTCCTTTCCCTAAGAAGTGCCACATATGGATTGCCTCTTCTAGCTCTGCTTACTTAAGTCTGACTATTGCCTTGATTGTCGGCGGTCCCTGCAGACTGGGCACACAGCAAACTTCCTCAGCATGTAGCAGCTAGACCAGTCAAAGGGGCTATCCACACAGGCTAGCAGGTCAGGAGGCACTGTGTGAGACCCACATCATATCCCAGTAGGCTCCTGCTTTACTTATAACCCAGGATGCCCAAAAAGACTTACACCCCAAACCTGTTCTGTCAGGTCAGCAGAAAAAGTCAATCCCGCCCTTACCCTGGCTTGAACACCCCCCCAACTTACCCCAAGGTTTTGGAAACAGCAGGCTGGCCATGCTTCTTCATAAAGCCCCCTGCAAGCAGGAAACAGAGAGAGAGTCTTGAACTTAGAGCAACGAAGCTCAGGAAGAGTCAGCCACAGAGATGGAGTGGGATAATGCCAGAAATAGTTCACCCTGACTGAGCCTGTCTTGGGCCAGGCTCTATGGTGGATACTTGACATACATCATTTAAGAAGGCTGGTACTACATCATCCTTCTATTTCTTAAACAGATGAGAAAAAGGAGTCACAAAACCAGTAATAGGGCAGAAATGCATCCATGTGCACCTCTCCTAGACCACTCAACCATGGTGCTGAGCTGTTACATGCCCCTTGGCCTTCTCCTCCGGGGATTATCTGTGATGATCCGGAACCTCTCCAGAAGACGACCCTGCTGAAGCGAGGGTGGGAGATGTACATGCATCTCTCTCGCCAGATCTATTCACATTGGGTACAAGCAATATTCCACCCTCACACTTGTGGCCCAGCAAACAGCAAGATGTGTCCTGTGGGCATGCAGCAGATCACTGGCACTGAGCCCACTAGAAGCCGCACCAGCAGCACCGTGGACACTGCAGGTCCTGGGTAAGGTGCTGTCATCCTGGACAGGAAGCGGTTAAATAGCAAACCCAGTCAGGTGGGCGCGGGGGGGGGGGGGGGCACTGCTGGCGGGGAGGGGCCATTCCTAATGTGACCAGGAACAGGAAGTGACCATAACGTGGTGGGGTGTTTTGGAGGAACAGGGAGGGGGAAAGGAGGACATTTCTGAGATAGTGATCAGCCTGGAAGTTCTCTTTTTGCCACAAGCTGGGAATGTTTATAAAACCCTACCCAAAGCACACATAGCAGGCATGGAAGTCATTCCCGGAATATCAGCAGGCAACTGCAATGGGAAATTTGCAGGGTGTTTACTGGAAAAGGGTAAACTTCCTTAAGTTCCAGCACCCACTGCATCTGTATGAATGCGTAGGAACATGGGAATGGGGGCTGCGTATTTCCCTCGGCTGTATCTGGCTCAAGGACTAAAGAACCTTAGTCGAAAAGGACTAAGAGCAAACACCAGCATTGCAGGTAAGTTACAGTTCCAGTGGGTTGACAATTATTGTACATGTATTTCTATTTAACGTCACTATTTAGCGAGTTATGTATAGTTTTCATTCCATAAGGTGGGTTTGGTTCTTGTCACTCAATAGTCTATTCAAGGTTAAAAGGACTTCTAAGCAGATAAAAGGAGAAACTTGTTCTGGGAGGACCCAAATGACAATCGCCATCAAGATGCTGGGGCCCCTCAGACAATCACCCTCAGATTCTGGAGGAAGTGCCATCCAGTCAGTCCTTTTTGAAAATACTGGAGCAGATGAGAATCCTAAGCTCTAAAGATGCTCTGGTCTTAGACCAGAACCTCCCTTTCTGTGCCTTCAAATCAAAGGAAATGATGCTTGGGCGCCTGGGTGGCTCAGTTGATTAAGCGACTGCCTTCGGCTCAGGTCATGATTCTGGAGTCCCGGGATCGAGTCCCACATCGGGCTCCCTGCTCAGCAGGGAGTCTGCTTCTCCCTCTGACCCTCTTCCCTCTCGTGCTATCTCTCATTCTCTCTCTCTCAAATAAATAAATAAAATCTTTAAAAAAAAAAAAAGGAAATGATGCTTAAAGTAGAAAAGAAAGTTTACAAAGCTGTTCATTTTTCTTGTTGGTAATAGTAAAAATTAGAAACAGTGTAAACACCACACAGTAGGAAGATAATAAGTGTTGTTAAGTAAAGTGTACAATTAAACATCTTATTCTGCCATCAAATCATCAAATTATGTTTAAGAATATATAAAACAGGCAGAAATAGATTAAGATCTTATATCATTTGCTCCTCAGCACGTTCCAGTTGGGCAGTGATCCTCTGTACTCCACTGAGCTCATCCTGACCACCTCCTTGCCAGACCCAATGGATAATCCTCGCCCCCAACACTCAGATGCTCAACAGCATTTGCTATGGGGCCATTCCACTCCCAAGTACATTCTCCTCCACCCTCTCCTGCTCTCATGAGGTGCCTATTCTTCTTCAACTACCTCCTCTGTTCTACTTTTGCAGGTGGAGTGCCCCGGGGCTGAGTCCTGGGTCCTTGCTCCTACACTGCTGATCCCCACCCCCAACCCCAGGAGGTCTTAGACGGTCCCATCGCTTTAAATATCATCTATAAGCTGATGACTCTCAAACCATATCCCCACCAGAACTTCCTATTCATTCATCAGAAGTATCCAGAACAGTGCCCAAATCCTTACAGGAGTCAAATCCTTGTGACATAGAGGGATTTTATGAAAAAAGAGCAGGCTGCAACATTATCTATTCAATGTAATCTTAACTAGGAAAAAGTAAAATAAAGTATCCAAACACAGGAAAGCAACCGGAAGAAAATATATTGAAATGTTATTAACAGTGTTTGTTTTGGGGTGGTGGGACTATGAAGAATTGATTCAGCTGTATTTTTTACAACCTATAAATACGACAGTAAAGAAAAAAACAAGACATGATCTAGTTACCAAAAATAAAGAAAAAAAGGAGGGGTGGGGTGGAGAAAGAAAGTAAAAAAGGAAAGAGATTCTGGCACCCAAACAGGCGAATAGGGCCTCTTGTACCTGCAAACACCAAAGCATCAGCCACGTACCCAATCACTGAGACTCCCTCTGAAAAATATCTATGTACAATTCATGGCATTTATCACGCTACTGTATCACTCATTTCATCTTGGAGCAAAGGTTTGATAAAAATTAGACTGATCATCTGATGAAGGGATTAAAAAAACGTGGTCTATTCCTACAAGGAAATATTCAGCCACACAGAGGAACGTACTGACACATGTTTCAACATGGATGAACCCTGAGAAAATTTGCTAAGTGAAGAAAGCCAGACTCAAAAAAAAGGTCTGATTCCATTTATATGAAATGTTCAGAAGAGGCAAATGGATAGAGACAAAGTACATCAATGGTTGCCAGGGGCTGGGGTTTCTGTTCAGGATGATGAAAAGTTTTGGAACTAGATGGTGGTGATGGTCGCACAACATGGTGAATGTACTTAATGCCACTGAATTGTATACTTTAAAAATGGTTGTGACGGTAAATTTATGTGTATTTTAACCACAATAGAAAACAGACTAAGCATTTTTAAGATTCTTGGGAGCTAAACATCTTAATCCAAAGGCTAAAATTCTTTTATTCCTTAAAAAAAAAAAGCAAAAATATGACATTGCCTAAAAGAAGAGCAAAAGAATGCTGTTTGAAGGTACTTCTGTATCAGGGTGAGAGCAGTTTATGGCAGGATCCAAAGGTAACAGAGCAAGCAGTCAGCTAGAAACGGAACGGGGTGCTTATTTTAATGTGAGTTAACACCAAGAGAGTTGACATCAAAACTAAAAGAGAATTTGGGCTAAAATAACTAGTAAGATCTATTTATAGGCAAAAATTTGAAGTTGCAAGTTGTCAGATAAGGCAAAATTAATTTCGTGAAACTATGAAAATCTGGCAGAACAGTAAGGTTATGGAGAAAAATAAGTGGAAAGGGGATTAGGATGGAAATGCCAAAAATAGAAGAGTAAGTTAAGAGAATTGGTGAAGACAGGATCGAGTTAGTGAGGGGGGAAAAAAAGGCCAAGGCACTGAAAGTACTTAAACAGCTCTCTTAGATTTTTCAAGGACGAGTAAAAGAGAATGCAGCTGGCAGGTTTTAGGAGTGAAAAGTTCAACAGTGGGGAGCTAGCACTTTTTGTTAAAGGATACAGAGAGCCTGGGTTGGGACAGAGAATGCTGCCAACAAGGGGACTAATGTGATCAAGAAGGTAAGGAGACGAAATGCTTCCAAAATACGTGATGATATAACTTATCATCCAAATAGGGACTCTTGACACTGAAAGGGACATAATTAATAATTCTGCCAGGACAATAGGAGTAAACCAGGGCTGTTCCAGGCAAACCAGGGAGCAGTCGCCCTACTTGCAGCCAACTTCAAAGTGGATTTTAAGGATTGCTTAAAATAGTGGTTTTAATCAGAAAAAAATGGGCATTTTTTTTTTCTAACAGATATTTAGTAATGCCCCCTGGGCCATCCACAGAGTTCTCCGCTAACCACCCATATATCATCTCAAAAAGAAAAGAAATGTAAAGCCGTAACTAAAATAGTAACAAAAAATAAAAGGAAAGTAAACTATCATAATACTTATTTCAATATGTAAGTATTCAAGTATGACTATTTTGGTATGTAAATGCTCAGGTGTGCTAGAAGATGTAATGACGCTCGCACCGACTCATGGGCACATTTGGATTTAAAAGCAAATGATCAAGCAGTGCTCGGTCAGGGAGCCCTGGCTTGCAGGACAGGGGTTTCATGGGGGTGTAGAGAGTGGAGGCTACAGGACTGGGGTGGCTAGGGCACGGGGGCCATGCACTTAAGTGGGAGATGGGCAGGAGGCTGACCTTCCAGAAGAGGAAAGCCAGGCAGACCTGGCGGGGGGAGGGTGCAGGCCTTGTTTGGAACAGGGGCAACTAAAAGGCAAAGCAAAAACCTACAGCTCTTGGCATCCACTGGGCCAGCCAGTGGTGTGGATAAGGGAGGAACAGAGGAAAATCCGTACCTTTCTGGGACAAAGGAACAAAAGCGAAACAAGTGAAGTGGAGGTGAGGGGGCAAAGGTGAGTTGCCTTCTATCGTTTCATTGGCCAATGTGCTATTAAAAGATCCAGCACCCTGATCCCTCTGGTTTGGATCTGGGAAATGCCTTCTACATGGAAACAGAAACAACCGTTGCTCAGTTATTTTCCAAGAAATCAATGCTTAAAGACAGGAGACCAATGGCAGCCCCCCACTTCCCCCTCCCACACTTCAGTGAGATATTTTGCCTAAATCAAATCATGTCATTTTCTTCTTGATACCCTCCAGTGGCTTTCCATCCCCAGGATCTAACCCCTGACCACCCCTCCAGATGTATCCTCACTCTGCTGACCCCACTAACTCTCTTACTATTTCTCACTCTAAACTGTGTGTGCAAAAAG